TTGACAGCGCGGGAAAGGCGATGACAGCTCGCGAAAGACGATACGGTGTTGATCCCTTTCCGAAGTGCAGAAGTTGCACGTGCTTAAGTTTTTAAATATGCAATATCGTGGTTCGATTCGATTTCAAATTTCGAATTTCTATTGTTTATGGTAATAAGAAAAATGTTGTTTGTCTTATTTTCTTCGTCTATGTCGAGCTACTTTTCAGCCAGTCCTTGCATTTAGAGCAATATAGACCCTATTAATAAGGAAACAAGGGCGATAGTTGGACCTTTATTAAATGCTAGGGACACTTAGAATAAAGTATTTTCGCGTAATTTTTTATTTTTTTTTTTTATGCTAGCCAATGCAGGTATTTGACCGCAATCGCACCTGGTGTTAAGTGAGATGCAGTCTAGGATGGTACATATCTGCCCTGTAAGTGCCTATTCACTATCTAATAATTTAAAAATATCTGTAATTCTGAGTTACAAGAATAAATGTCATTGTGTAGAAAGAGGGTGACCCTTTCAAAGATAATTTGGACGTCCTTTTTATTCTAAGAACAGAAATATAAGAAGGTATAATATTAAGTTTCATTTCAAGTGTCGTGCTAACAAACATAAATACCCCTATTTTACAGCAGAAATGTGTTATACCTTTTAAAATCACTTCAGTCAATCCTTTAATGGCTAGATATTTATTTATTTATTTATATAAGGCACTGCTACAGAGAACAAACCATAACAATACAATTAACACAACAGCATAGCACAATATAGCATAATATATACTTGTAAATAGGTATTATACAGTTGTAATATAAATAAGTTGAGGTATAACTGTAAAACCAAACGAAAACTGTTCATTTGAGAGACTCTTGAAATTTGTCGAATGCCTGAATATTAGATCTTCAAGGATTTCATTTTACTAAATTGAATCACCACACGCAAGCTTGACGCGAAATCATTCAAATTTTAAATTAAATTCGAGACTTTTCTATCCAAAAAGCATTTAAAATGGTGCAAACGGTGCATACAAAGTTAGAATACTGAATTATTTATATTGTTGCCTTTAATGCGCCATAATATCAACTTCATTAACTTAAAATTAGAGTTCATAATTGTTTGTAGGGAGATTATTTCAGCAGAACATGGATTTGGAACTTTATTTGAAAGGCATGATGTTAAAACGATTCCATAGACCTTTCGAATTTTAAAATTTAAATAATGGATCGATGGCACGTTTGCCTGAAAATTCGATTTATAAATTTTAAATTTCGACCGTTATTTGTGCTAGAGAACGAATGATTTATACACTTTAAACGGGACATGTTTTGTGAGTTCCGTAGGATATTTTAATGAAATTCCATCATCTTGTATTTAGGTCTTGCTTCGCCCAAGGAATCCATTTTGTTTGGAGAATTTGAAGAACGCCTAATTTTTCAGTAAGTAATTGCAACATACTGAAACTGATAATACGAGTAACTCTAATAAAAATTCAGGTGTGATTGCGGTCAAATACCTACCTGCCTTGTTCTGCATAAAAAATAGCCTGTTCCCCTGTGATTGAGGATTCCGAGTGGAGCTCGCTTCCACCTTCGGCCTGACCATCACTGACACCACACTTCTGGCTGACTCTGACTTTGACTGCACTCATCATCATCATCATCGTCATTTCAGCCATAGGACGGCCACTGCTGAATATAGGCCTCCCCCAATGATTTCCGCAATGAATGGCTGGTTGGTGGCGGCCTGCATCCAGCGCCTCCCGCTACCTTTATGAGGTCGTCGGTCCACCTTGTAGGTGGATGCCCTGCCCATTGCCACTTCAGCTTGCTAATCCATTGAGCTATGTCAGACTGCACTACATCAGGTAAAATGCAGGATAAGAGCTTTCCGTTGTGGTTAGTAAAAGCTACACAGTTTCTTACAGAAACTTAAAGTATTGTTTGCTACTGCCAATGTGGCTTAACCGTGTTTCATCAAGAATCGTATTCTCTTGAGCATTTTATTTGGAAACCAATTCACAGAAACACAACTACTCTCATGCGTAAAGGACCTTAATGCCCATTTACCATCGATCCCTAATTTTTAAGTGACCCCTTTGAAAACAAAATTCCTGTTATTTGTTACCATATGGGTCTTAGGCACTTAGGGATTGATTGTGAAAACGGGCATAAGTCCCTAGATTGGGCAGAGGGCGTACACAACAGTCCACCATCGCGTTTGATAACTACTCTCATACACTTATGAAAATCATATGATTACTTGTTACTAAAGTTCTATTGTTATGTACAGTCACGGAATGAAAAGGTTCGTCAGTTTTCAAATTGATTCCTTCAACGAATCGCGAGCACATATTACCTTTTGAAACTATGTTACAGAATAATCTCGAGTTAGAGAAAATAATCTTTAACTGTTCGTCACTAAAGTTTAAAATTATTCAGATCAAAGTTGTTTGACGTTTTAACTTGTCAAGAAGATTATTATGATTGATAAACTAAAACCTTCTTGTTGGTTCAACCTGCCATTATCTATTAAATAAAAAAAAACTACATTTTGTAACATTGCACTGATGGGATATAAAACTAAACAAGCAAAACCTTATTCGTTAGCAAACGTCATATTTATTTAAATGTTAGCAGCAATGTTTCTTGCACTGTAATGTTGGCAGGTTTGATTCTTACAGTACCTAGTGCAAGCGAAAACCGACACTAAGGTGACGAACCTTTTCATTCCGCGACTGTACTTACCTTGCTCTAACTACTTAACTAAAGCCTGGTCCGTGAGCACGTAGAATTTTGTCCAATGACCCCAAGCTACCTATCCTTATCGCTCGCGCGTAAAATTATGTTGCTGTCGCGCTCGCACACTCACTGCAGGCGCCCGTCGCACAGTCGCGAAAAGAAAAACTTTAGCGCGCACGTCCCTGTTTCGAAAACCGGGACTCAAACTATTTCTATGCTAAATTTGATCAAAATCGGTTCAGTGGTTTAAGCGTGAAGCGAGACAGACAGACAGAGTTACTTTCGCATTTATAATAATTAGATAGATTTATAATTTTTCACAAAAATACGAGTAGTTGCTAGTCGGCATCGCTTATGCTATTTCACTTTGCATTGCATCATTTTTCAATGGACAAAAGACTAACGTTATCAATCTTGCATTTCGGCCAATACAAACATTCATGTTTACCCCACTGTCTGCCAAAGAGCTTTTAAAATAGTTAGACGACGTATGTTTGAGAAAAAATTCCATACATCACACCTGCTGGGCTAGGATGCGCGCCGTGATATACTTTATCGACGTCAAATTGTATGGGCAAAATCGATAAAATAGCGTGAAAACTGATCACGATGTAAAGTTGTCTATTTCTTAAAATTTCGCTAACACTTTAAATGCCATAAGACTGGGTGACTAGCCGTGGACTACAGAATTTTTGTCAGGCGATAGTTGGGTCGGTCGGGCTGTTGTTAATCAGTACAGGACGGACATTATGAAAGTGCGTAAGTACCTACTTGTACACATTACACCGATTTGGTATCGTCCTATTCTTCGAACCCAACTATCGGCCGACTAAAAGTCTGTATTCTGCAGGGACTCTAAACTCTTACTGGGTTGCACTTGCACCATCTTTCTTTATCTTTGACAAACGTCAAAAATCTGGCAAACTCCATACAAAAAACACCGGTTAACGTTATAGTTACGGTCAAAGTTAGGTGGGGCAACTCAGCCTTAAACTTTTGTATTTGGATCTTGAGACCATTTAAAAAGGTTAAAAATAAGGTGAGAACTTTCTTCCCTCCCGTATGATTAAACTTGTTAACAGCTAATAAAGCGATTAGTATTCTAAGGGTAGGATTACCTACTTATCCTAAGACCATTATCTCCTTTGCAAGAGAATACAGACTACCCTTATTTTCATGAAGAAAAGGGTCATGTTATATTCATAAACATATTTTCTCCCGCCACGTGCCGTCTTGACTCGTGCATCCGAACAAATGGGTTAAAGACAGCCTCGTGTATCCGAAAAAAGCTTAATTCTCATAATATTATCGAAAATTGGCGACTACCCGCAGAGTTGATTGGGAATCCGAGCCTTTGGGCTGAACGTGTATAGGTAACTTAATACTCTACAGTCTTATTGCGCTTGGCATAAGGATCAAAGCAATAATAAATCAATATTAGCTCTGTTTTGTCCATGAATAAATTGGCCGATTATAAATGACTTGATTTGNATGATTTGACCAATTACCAGTGGCTCGTGGACGCCTACACGTTTATTAAGGACAAACATTCATTCATAGGACTGATGATCCACGTTCCTTGTAGGCGTCACCCCATAAATGGTACCATAGCTGACCCGTTGACCAGGACAGAAGGATAATTCGATCCTAAATAGTCCGACCTCTCTGGCCATACTAAAAAACATGCGTTAGACAAAATTATAACGATGAGCTATAAAAGATCACTCTAACCAAATAGTCTCTACCTCATAGTTTAGTTCAGTTAAGGACAGTGTAGGTGTAGGTTGCATTCTCTCATAAAATAAAATTTGTGTGCTAAATAATATTATTTATACGTTCTGTCACTGATTTAGTTCCCTTAATAAGCAGGCCCTATAGAACAAGGTGTATTTATCAAGGTATTAATTCACATTTCATCATAATTTTGTTCTTCGGTAGGGTAAAAAGTTAAATGCCTTCTAAAGAATTCCTTGAACTCCATTAAACTTTATTTATTTATCAAGATTTATTCATTAGACTTCCATAATCAAGCCTCTTATTATTTTTCTCACATACTTTGCCAATAAGTATACGTCTTACTTTGGTTCATTTAAAACGGGATAAATGGGGCATAATTTCAGCACACGCAACATTTTATTTACATTCCACACACTCCTGTTACTCATATTTTATGACTATAGTTACATTAAACAATAGCTAAATATTTTTAAACCTAAATAATATGGTATTTTAACTTATCATTAGGTAATTTCACTAAATTGCATTAAAGTTTTCACGACTCGACCGCAGACGCGTCGTCAGAGTCATAGAAATTGTTGTTTGTATCCTTATTTTTGTAGTTATTATGATTTTCTTCATCATTAAAGGTCTGGTCTACTTCATTTGGGTCTTCAGAATTGTAAACCGAGTTGTCAGCACTAGACAGCACGAAAGGCACAGCGTTTTGAGGGTAAATCCTTACCCCATCGTATAATTTCGGCATTATGGATTGATATTTCGAATATTTACTGGACTCGTCAGCATTGTATGGGGTTTCGTTATCTTCGTTGCCGTAGTCATCGTTGAAATCTGCGTGTTGTTGCTCCACTTGGCTATCTTGAATATTGCCTCTTTTATAATTAACTTCTGCCTGGTTGTCCTCTTGATCTAGCTCATCGTTTTCTTCTTCGTCCTGATCATCTTCGTTTGTTTGTTGATCATTGTCAGATGTGCCTTCATCGTTTGTGTTATCATAGTCATCACTATTCTTGTAAGAGCTATAGGAATTGTAACTATTTTGCCTTATTTCTTCGTTCGCATTTCCACTATCACCTTCACTGTTACCGTAACTGTAACTAGGCTGCCTTATTTCAGCATAAGTGTTTCCAGCACCTTGACTGTCACTTTGAATGACACTTTCGTCTCCTGGACCTGCTTTGAGATCAGTAGAATCGTCATTACTAAGATCTTCAGCACTATCGTTGTTATCTTCAACCTTATTATTATTAGCCAAATTAGCTATATTACTTTGGCTCATATCCTCATCAGATATAGTTTGTACAGTGATAACAGCGTCGTATGGAGTTCCTTGGTTTCCCGCAAATACAATCACAACGTATTTGGATCCAGGCCCACCATCCACGACGTTAGCTTGTAGGTCTGTGCCGAAATCTATGCCACTTACCCTAACATGGGTAATCGTGTCTCCGTTCCCAACTCCTGGGTATCTTAAAGCTAAAGATCCTCCGGGTACATTGACTCTAATTTGCTCTGAGTTGGTTTTCTCGAGTTCTTCATTGCCGATGTCTAGTAAAAACACATATGGGTACTTGTGGAACGGATTGGCAGATGTCACTGAGAGCAGGAGGACTTGACAGGCTATTAGCACGAGGTACATCTCGCAGGTCGGACTCTGAACTATTGGTAGGTCATGGTACACTAATCCGGTTCTTATACTGTAAAATTTCACGGTCGGTTCACCGGCTTTTTGCTCGGCCGTGATAAAAAGCGTGACTTCTCAATGCTGATTTGTTTTGACTAAGTTTATCAGGAAGAGTGAGGCCCGTATTGAGAAAGGATACTCAAAATTCAAGACAAACTCAAGAAAGTTTACGGTTAAGTTATGATAGATTAAAATATTAAACTTCTTTAAAGTAGGTGGATAGAGCCTGTCTTCATCAGTCTCCAAATATTCATCCCCCATTAAAAACAACTGTTCGAGATTTTTTGCAATAACATAATGCCCTTTTTCAGGATAAAATCCACTCTACAATATACAAACAGTCAGTATGATAGAGTTATTTTCGTATATTACTTACAAAATTACAAGCATGAACGGATTTAGGTGTAACTTATTTCAGACTGTGAAAGAATTTGTGGTTAAAGAAAACTAAAAAAAATACGTCACATAAATCACAGCTTTATTTCGATAAATATAGCTTAATTATAACAACAACTTCGTGTTCAACAACATTATATCACATGAAATATTATAACACTGGAAGAAGCAAGGTACATTCATTAGCTTATACACTAAGTTATTTTATAGGTACATAATGATGAGGATATCGAAAATAACAATGAATTCAATAGAACAGCATTGTAAAGTAACTAATTACATACATAAATAAAATTCCATGATATCCTAGACATTCGTGCCACTAAAATTTACAAATACAAGAAGAAATATACATTCGGACATTTACTCATTTACTTAAACACTGTTATTTTCAGGTTACTAATAAAGTTAACAATATTAAAATACCTACATACCTTTACATTTATTATTTATCACTTACAAAAATAGTTGAAGAAATATAAAAGGTATCCTCATCATCTGGAAGTTTAAGCAAAACATAAGAAGATACAACGTTTAGACATTCAGTAACCAATTTTTACTTTGTACAACAATTTAACAGTTAATCGATTATAATTATTTTGATAATACAGTATGCACCGCCAAAGCTACAATTTTTTAAAGGTTACCAAGTAAATACTTACTTTCCTATTGTCATTTTAGCACTCATTCTTCAAGCATTTTTCAGTTGAATTAATATTTTTATTAGGGGAACGTATTATAAAGGCTTATTCCGACACACAGTGACTACTATACGATACTAGAGGGGTGTCACCGGAAAATAATAAGACTCGTAAGTTGATCAATTTTCTAGGTAGTTGATCAACTCTCGGAAAATAATAAACGGCATTTGAAATGTACTATTTAACGTATGTATTTTAGTAAGTTGATTAATTTACGGCGCGCGTCTTGCCGTTAAATCATCCGACAAAGACAAGGTGCACGTTGATTGGTTAAAAGACTCACGTGCTTTTATACCGCTCCCCGCCACCCGGCCGCGGCCATTACCGGTTTAAACGTAAACAAATCTATCTATTTTCTTTATTTAAAGTAGTAAAATTAGCAATTGTTGTTTTGTGTCGTAATAATTTTCATTATAACGCGTCATTTTATTTATGATGAGTGAAATGCAGTCTGTAGTAGTAGAAATAAACAAACTTACTTATTATTAATATAACTTACAACAATAAAACTCTAAGCTCCAATATTTTTTTTTAAATATTTTTCATTTATTTAACTATACAGGGTGTTAGGTAAATGGGTATATGAGCCGACACTAGCCCATGTTAACATAGGCATATAAATGGTATGGCGTAGTCAGAAATTTGATATCATCATTTTATTTTTTTAAATTTTCATACAAAATAATTTTTATAAAATCCGATTTGTATGAAAATTTAAATAATAAAAATGAAGATATCAATTTTCTGATTTCACCATACCATTTATATGCCCATGTTAACATGGGCTAGTGTCGGCTCATATACCCATTTACCTAACACCCTGTATAGCATAGACGAACTTTAATATCCCTATCTCTAAAATGTAAATAATTAAAACAATATAATCTAAGTGTTTGTAACTCAATGAATAAACACTTGCTAAATGCTTATAATTAATGCTGTCGACCAATCAGAGAAAAGTGTATTAAGTGACGGATAATAGTGTACCGTCAAATAGTACACTGCGCAACGATTGGCCCATTTGTGGATGATTTTACTTGTAGCAATAATTATAGTTAATTATTAAATTACGGCTAGGTACCGTAAGTTGACCAATTAGCTAAAATTCGATGCGTTAAATAGTACATTTCAACTGCCGTTTGTTATTTTCCGAGAGTTGATCAACTTCCTAGAAAATTGATCAACTTACGAGTCTTGTTATTTTCCGGTGACAGGGGCATGAATATTATCTTCATTAGGTATTTTTACAAAAGGAAAAGGTACCTGATATTCTGTTCTAGTTCTATTTAAGAAAGGATTTAAATTTGGCAATTTTTAGACGGAAATTGGATTCAATAAAGGCATTATTTCTTTTTCATCACATACTTATTACTGGCTGACTGTAATCATACTCCTTTATTAATAAAAAATGAAACACGGCTACAGAACAATAGTTACTTTCATCAACATCATTCATACTTAAGTTTATTCTTATGCGTAGATTCATATTTAGGTATCGTTTTATAATGCGGGCCTAAATAATAATATTAAGTGTCATCATTTTAACATTCTAGTTTTAAAAAGCTATCTAGCGAGTATTTACAAAATAAACAACTACAAACTACAATAATAATATTCACTTTTTTAATAGGTTAAAATATTTTTAACACAGCCTCACTCTTGATATTAACCCCTTTACAGCCCACTGGTTTGGGCCACCAAAATTTTTATAGGACACGAAAAATTCAGTAACCAAATTCAAAAAATTCAGTAAAATATGAAATAAAATAATCTATTAAAAGTGTTTGCCTACACACATGAAAGCTATTTTGAATCAGTATCATAAATATTGTCAAATTTCCACGCGCATTCACATCCAAAAGCCTAAGCCATTTGAGCAAAATCCTATCGGACAAATTTTCGCATCTGCTTGTTTTGGCGGTCCAGCGATGATTGGGCTCGGTCAGCGTGTGCTAACATCTCATCCAACTTGCTGGTCTGCGAAGTGATTTGCTTACCTTGAACAGAATAAATTTTATTTATTTGCGTAAGAGATAAGTTAAGTACGCGTTTAATTTTGATCAAATCTATGACTCTCTAATTAATCAAGAAATCTCAGAAACTTTTGTCCGTTTTCACCATCAATCCCTAATTTTTAAGTGACCCCTATGATGACAAATAACAGGAATTTTGTTTGCATAGGGGTCACTTAAAAATTAGGGATTGATTGTGAAAATGGGCATTTAACACCTACAATCTTTAAATTTGACAGGTAGATTCCTTTTAGCCTAGCTGGTCTGTGCCTAGGCCTAGGCATTAGGCACAGACCACCGACTCTTAGTTGGCCGATAGTTGGGTCGCGCTGTTATTCAGTATGGGCATTTATGAAAGTGCGCACATTACACCGATTTGGTATCGGCCGATTCTTCATACAAATTAGAATCGGGCCCAACTATCGGCCAACTAAAAGTTGGTGGTCTGCTCCTAGGCTTAGGGTGTAGACATCTGCTAAGAGCGGATTTTACGAAACTCCACCCCTAAGGGGGTAAATCAGGGTCCACGTACAAAGTCGCGAGCGGCCTCTAGTGAAACAAAAGCGGTCAGTCGTATCTGCATGCTAAAACTTAACAAAATGTGACAATAACAAAAGAAAAAAATTACCAATAATAATATCATGATATCAGTCATATTATTATATTCTTACCTACCTATATCCTTGACTCCTTTGCTCAGCAGAGTCGTCTCTTCATTCTGCTCCATAATCTTCAAGTCATCTAGCGCGGAGTTAATATCCCCGATTTTTGGAGAAGTGACGCCATCGTTGTGGCGTGACGTCATTTCATTGTCTCCAGGGCCCAGACCCTGGTTTATGGAGGAATTCTGGGAGGGGGGGATGTAGTCTTTGTCGTAGTTCGTTTGGCCGATGTAGCTCGGTTCGCTAGAGTAGGACAGGTTGTCTCGAGCTGTCAGCTTTACTCGGAAGAAGTTTGTCAGGCTGCCGCAAACGCCCTGGGAAACAAATGAAGGAGGATGTTATCTTCAGGTCATTAAATTTAACCTCTGCTGTAAGAAGCTGGCTGAAAGTTACCAGCGGAAAATGGAAATGTACTAAATAATAATTCCAATTTAGACAGTGGAGGATATAACAGGACAAAAACTCATGAAACTATTTTTTTTTTCTGTAAATAGGCAGCAGTGTTGACTTTATTACTAAACCAGTAGAATTTAGAGCAAGCAAGCGAAAAGCACATAATAATATAAGATGTCATCGTCATTTTGATTTTCGTTCGTTCGTTTCAGCCAAATGACGTCCACTTCTAGACAAAGACCTCCCCAAGGATTTCTATAAAGAACGGTCCTGCGCTGCCCGCATCCAGGCTTTTACGACGCGACCTTCACCAGATCGTCGGTCTAGTGGGAGGCCTGCCATTTTGATGTCTGCTTGCTGTCATAATATCTATGTTACAGGAAATGTATCCGTTATTGTATATAATTCCTAGGAATTGTTCCTATGAGTTTTATACAATTCCTAGAATTCATACATTTCCTGTAACATCTATACAAAATCAGATGTTTACATGGGCATACCTTGAGTCTATTCAATTTGGTTTGGGTAGAAGTTAGGATAGTGTTCAGCTCGTGTAGACCCGAACTGGCTTGGTTTATATTCTCGCCTAGCATTGCTGTGTTCTGAAAGTATAGAAAACAATAACATTTATGACTCAAATAATTAAAAAACTAATTTTCTTACATTTGGGTGTAAATAATTATGTACGATATAAATAAGAACTAAATTAATAATTTAAATTAATTTGAAAGAATTTTAAAAAAATCGGTACAAGGTGATAGGTTGGTTCTAATCGTACCTACCTAATCAAACTGTGAAATTTTTGTTCTAAGTGTGAACAAAACAAATGTTTGTCTTTCTTTCTAAAAATCCACATAAAGTTAAAAAAAATAGTGTTTTATCTAAAACATCGTGTAAAATAAATAAAAAATATCATTATGTGACATACTTAATAAATATAATGTACATACATTAACCAAGCCCCTAAATAGGGCAAGGTTGAGCTTGTCCTATTTAGAGCCTTGGTTAACCACTTCCAGGAATTACACAAATTCATTGCCAAATTCCATTGCCTATCCCCAATATCATTGCCAAGTTCGCAGTGCAGTAATCTATATATATAAAAGAAAGTCGTGTTAGTTACTCCACTTATAACTCAAGAACGGCTGAACCGATTTAGCTGAAAATTGTCAGGGAGGTAGTTTAGAGCCAGGAGAAGGACATAGGATACTTTTTATCCCGTTCAAAATAAAAAAAAGTCTGCTTATTTATTGCCATTAAGGCGGAACAAAGTTCGCCGGGTCAGCTAGTTTAAGATAAAGAAGAAAAGATTTTTCCTACAAAACATAAAACAAACGGAAATTAATATTATTTTTTAAAAAAAAACCTAAAGCAATGACATTCATTAATTAAGGCGATTAGTGTCCTCAATTCGCGCCAAANGGTGCCTTGTTGTTTTGAGCTGTTTGATAACCATTCTAATCTCGCACAGACTAAGATCAATCTAGCTAGCACGTATTTTATATAAAAATGTGTCAAATGATCCGTCAGATAGGCTATCCACAACTTATCCAGAAGTGGCGAAACAGGCCCTTACTAAGCGATTGTGAAATATGCCCTTAATGTCAAATGTAAAGAATAGTTTAAAAAACTAAAAACACGCTTTTAATTACTAACAGGAATCATCAGGACCCTGGACGTCATCTAGCATTAAAGTGCTCGAAAAGACAAATCCAACGAACTCAAACTCGATGAGTTTCCGCCGATTCGTTTAGGAGTTCCTATGGCCACCTCAAACTCGATGTGATTCCACCGTTTCGTTTAGGAGTTCCTTTGGCCACCTTCCAGTCCCATCATCAGACCAGCTGGTACCAAAATATTGTATTGTCATCTAATCTGCATAAAGTTTCATGATGATACAAGACTTAGAAATGCATGTAATTCAGATTCTAAGATTCCATTACATATAAAATAAAATTATTTTTTGTTATTTTTTTCAAAAAAATAAATTGTAAACATGACGTATTTTTTATTTAAAAATATTTTTATTGATACTTAACGTAAACGAGATTGTTGTTTCACACTATTAGTTTTCAACGAAAATTATAAAGAGAAACAAAAATTGTAAAGGAGGCACTGGATTTACGAACCTCTGCAGTCTTGTTGATCTCCACTTCCTCAAATTCCACCACGTCCAAATGTTTGTTTCTCTCCAAAAAATCTTCTTTGTCTGGCTTAGGCTGGCCGAACAGCTCAGCCCTGGTGCAAGCATCTTCGTACGCCTTCAAAGACATTTTGAAAATGAATTTCCAGACCTATTTTACATCTAGCCAATTCTCGTGTCAGTCCTTGACCTCAAAAACAACATACACGACAAAATCGCGAACCCAAAACAAAGATCTATGCGCAAACTAATACAAAGTGTCATCTCGCAGCGGTAGGGTTGCTTGTCAGACGTATTGATTTTCTTCCGCGACCNCTGCGACCTAGTATTTGACTATGGCAGTTTAGTTTTCCCTCTAACCTTAATAGAACATTTATTTTATTAACCATGCGAAGTCAGGAATTCATTTTGAAAAGGATAAGTTAATAAAATCATAGGAAGACGAGCAGTGCAATGGTTAAATTATTTCAAAACTCCCTCCTAATCGGTGCCAATAAACTTAAATTTCCCGCCATGTCAAATACTGATACGTTTCGTTTTACATGCAGTTGTTTTGTAAAACGTATGATACTTATTTGATTGATTTACAGTTAGACTAAAAAGTGTGAATATTTTAACTAAAAATATTTAAAGCATAGTGTATTTTTTTTAATAAATAAATTTTTAATTAATTAATACAAAATCAGCTGGACGTCAGCTGCTGAAGTTCAATGACCGATGCGTGCACAGAATGACCTGTATTTATATCGGAAACATGAATAGGTTAGAAAGAGACGGACAATAATATTTCATTTGCTCAGTAAACGTCACAAAATTGTAAGGTTTGGTTTGTTTTAAAATAAATGCTTTCTAAATCAGTTTTCACTGCGTTATTCAAGTGCAAGACGTCCTACCTAATTCAAATATCAGCTGCAACCATGTCATCAAGTGAGTACTGCATTCCGTGTACTTTTTGGACTTCTTATTTCGAACAGTAAAGTCTATCAAAAATAGTCTTACGGTTTTAAATATTACTCAGTATTATTTGCACTATTTTCAGTTAATTTACAGGAAAATCAGAAAACTATTGGATATCTACTTGACTTATTTTAGGACGTCGAATGTGACATTGCGAATTTATTTTTAATTTGTACCATTGTAATGGCCTGGTTTTCTTTGTATTTCAAAAAGTTTTAACTACATCGTGTCTATTTACACTATAACAGACTATAGTTTTGAAGTTTACTCATCAAATTCTCTATCCATCAAATATTATTGAATGAGTGGTGGGCGTAGAGATGTGCCGCTGAGAAAGTTCTCGTTCCCGGCAATATTCCCAGTGAGAATATTCTCGAGAACCGAGAACGCTCCCGGGAATATTCTCAGTGTTCTCGACAGAATACATTTAGTTTTAATTTTAATTTTGTTGTTTATATGTGGTATTATTTGTAATGCTTCGATGTTTTATTAACTGGGCGTTAAGACTAGTCGTCATAAACAAGGCATGAAACGTGTGAGTGAAATATTGCTGTCTTGCTCACTCTTTGCGTGGCGAACGCGTACCGCAGCTTTAGGACTCGGCTACGGTATTTGAACATGAGTGTGCCTCTGAGTTTTAAGGCCCTTGCCACAGTTGCCACTCTGGCGGATTTCAAGCGGATTTAAAGCGGAGCGGCGACGCGACGGAGACGCCGCGTGAAAATATCGTGAAGATTCCCGAAGGCTGTCCAACCGAGCTGGATTCGATGATTGACCTTTTTTTTTTTTGGAAGTTGGACCTACCTAACTGGACTGTTTGTCCCAAGTATACATTGTTGTCAACAACTTCGAGTGTAGAGTCTCCAACTTTTAGAGGAGTGGGTGCAACACGGTTTTTAGACATGATTTTTAAATCTTGTCCATGGTCATTTTGAAACCTACTTGTTGAGAGACTCTATTGAGGNAATAGGTGGGCGTACATTAATATTAATTTAACTTTAAAGAATCCTTTGTTGGGACTGTTTATTAATTAATTAGTCAAACTGGCGGTTTATAGTGAAGGCGATCAAGTAAAAAAATATGTGGGAGGTAAATTTTCACATAATATTATATGCAGAAAAATAGTTTTAAAAGACTTTTTAGGGTTCCGTAGCTTAGCCAAATGGCAAAAAACCCTCAATAGATTCGTCATGTCTGTCTGTCTGTCCGTCCGTCCGTATGTCACAGCCACTTTTTTCGGAAACTTTAGGAGCTATACTGTTGAAACCATTGAAGGTTGAAACTTGGTATGTCTATGTATTATGTGTGCATAAAGATTTTTACATAAAAATAGAAAAAAAGCAATAAACAATTATAGTTATTTCTTTTTTGTGTTCGTTTTGGTGTTCGTTTTGGTGTTCAATTATAGTTAGGTAAATATTATTATCTAAAGTGGGCAGTAATTTTTTTCATACCACAACTTAACAAGCCAAATAGATAGCAGTGATTGCAATACTATTTATCATTTGCCTTGTTTGCTTTCTTGATAACCTTCATAAAGGACATTCATAAATCATACCAGGATATTATTTACATAGAAATACAAAACGTTTATATAAGTCATATTATTATCAACTGTAAACCTGTATTTTTTTCCAGAGCCACTGACGTTGGAGACCACAAAAAAACTCAACGATGATTTCTATGCGCAACCGAAGAATCAATTGGCCCAGAATGCCTGCACTCGGACTGATCCCTTCGAGATTGCCATCAGCCGGAGAAGGACAGACAGTGCCTCACATGTTTATAATATTAGGGTAATTAAAATAAAATATTATTGATACAAAAACTTTAAGATTACTTGATGTCCTAGAAACTAAAATAACTTCTAATATCCATCTTTTGATTAAAATGTTAGTTGTTTTATTACTGACTGACTGACTAAAAAATAATAACTAATGCAAAATTTTCCCCAAAAGTGTCATTCACTAACTAAACCTTATTGTAAAATTTCAGTTAGAATCAGAGGGTAAACCAGTAACAAATCAAGAGAACTCGGGCCGTTGCTGGCTGTTTGCAGCTCTCAATGTTATGCGCTTGCCATTCGTGAAGAAGTATGGCATTGACGAGTTTGAATTCTCACAAAGGTAACGTAAGTTTTTTTTATGGTGCAAATGTATGAAACATTTACTTGAATTTCTAGTAAACCTACTTATTTTAAAAGAATTCATATTGTTTCCCAATTGATTCCCACTTTCCACCCAGGGTGGCAATTGAAACAATTAATTTTCGATTGCATTTGTAAAAGCATTTAATTAATATTGTGACTCATTGTGTTTTAATAGTAAAAATGTTTTTTCTATTGTTTACAGTTACCTCTTCTTTTGGGATAAAATTGAACGATCACACTACTGGTTGAACAACATTATTACCACTGCAAAACAAGGAGAGGAACTAGATGGCAGGCTCGTAAACTTTCTTCTCAAGGTAAAAATATATTAAAACTTTTGTCTAACGCTTTCAGTGATTGGATAGGGTTTTATATAAATATTTTCCTGTGTAAGTGTCATCTGTTAATTTTCTTTACGATCAAACAGCAGTGGATTACCCATTGTTCTATCATTCATTTCTGTTTAGTAGTCTACAGTCACAGCACATCAATTTTGCGACTTGATGCTAAGTACCTATTTAAACTATAGGTAGGTATGCATACAGGTGCCACCCTTATCATCATGATTTCAAATCATTGTTTTGCCATTGTTTAAGTTTACGATTTAAACTGAATATCAGCCAGGAAAATACCTTAAAAACTGATAAGATTTGCGGTATGTTTGTTCCGGCCATTACCTATTTAAATGAGTGATAATTGATAATTAAAAGCAACGGTTTTGTTTTTTTTTTATCTTACTAGCTTTTTCCCTCGCCTTACCCCGTGTGAATTTCGGCCCGCCACAGGACTTTATCAAGAGTCCTCATTTCAAAACCGAGATAAAATCTATCCCATGTTTTTACCTAAGCTCGTGAACCCGGCGGTCCCTCTAAAAGAACCAAATTCTTAGCCGTTCCGTCCTGAACATTTGAAAATAAATCTAGTAGGTTTAACCGAAGGTCCTATTTATGATATTAGTAGGATAGGATAGACATTTATGAAATTTGTTATTTTATTATGAGCAAATTGTTTTAGACATTTTCACATACATTTACAGGATCCCATCAACGATGGTGGCCAATGGGACATGATCGTGAACCTGGTGAACAAGTATGGACTGGTGCCGAAGGAGTGCTTCAAGGAGTCGTTCAGCTCCAAAAAGAGTTTGCACATGAACGCAATCATCAAGACCAAGGTACGAGGTTTTTTAGAACTTTTACACTTAGTACTTAACTGGAACTTCATTTTTCACATAGATTTCACAATAAACGACTAAATTATGCAAAATTCCCAGCTCCCCTGATCAGTGTAGGTAGACCAAATCCTTTATTTTGTGTATGATGAATCAGAGAGCGTTCTCATCCCGAAATGGAGTATCATTAATTCATTAGACTTGTACTAATTCATGAGATATGCAGCCCTTGTATCACAAAATCATGATCTCAAGAGGACCAAATGTAACGGGAAACCCGCGCACCCCAGATGCGATGCAGTTTTTATTCTGAACAGCTTTGCTCATTATTTCAAGTCATTGAAATATTATTTTTTACAGTTGCGTGAATTTGCAATGGAATTGAGAGAAAAGGTCAAAGCTGACGCTTCGGACGAGGAACTGCAAGCGACCATCGACAAGCAAATAGCGATAATATACAACATCGTAGCAACTTGCTTAGGTAAAGTACCTGTCTTCTTTCTTTAATATTTAGCCGTTGCTTTTCATACCATATTTTCGGAAATAAATGCTATCTTATCTTAATTTTGGCCTTAGATCAAAGCATTAAGATTCAATATACAAAGTAAAGCAATGTACCGCTCGGTCTTTCAGGTACCCCGCCAGACAAGTTTAACTTCGAGTATTACAACAAGGAGAAGGCATACCAAAGCTTCGGCTCGCTTACGCCGCAAGAGTTCTACAACAAACACGTTCGTCCGCTCTTCAACGTCGATGACAAGGTATTTATGGACAAATCCCAACTATAATATTATAAATGCGAAAGTAACTCTGTCTGTCTGTCTGTCTGTCTGTTACGCTTTCCCGCTTAAACCTCGCAACCGATTTTGATGAAATTTGGCATATAGTTTGAGTCCCGGGAAAGAACATAGGATAGTTTTTATCCCGGTTTTTGAAACAGGGACGCGCGCGATAAAGTTTTTCTGTGACAGACAAAATTCCACGCGGGCGAAGCCGCGGGCGGAAAGCTAGTGCAGTCATAAATGTTATGTATTTTTTTATGGTTTCACTTCATTACTTATCTAATAGTTTTGGTAACAAATCAATTCAAATAACGAGCGACCAGTACACATTTTTTGCGAGTCTCTACAAAAATGTGTCGAATTTATTCCCATTTTCCCCGGTAATCAAATCACAGTGGAAATGGGAAAAAATTAAGTAAGTACACATTTTATTATTTATTTTATTTTTTCAGGTGTGCTTAGTAAGCGACCCCCGGGATTCGAACCCGTTCGGAAACTTGTACACGCTGCAGTGCCTCGGAAACGTCATCGGTGGGAGACAGACCGCGTACAACAACCAGCCCATTGAGACCCTAATGAAGTAAGCTACTTTTATGCTTATATAATTTCATTTTTCTATCGCGTGTGCATTTTTTCCACCTTATTGTGAATACCTAGCCATCAGTAGCAGTTTTTAGTTTTAATTCGAGGAGAAAATTTCAAACTAGTAATTTTCATTAATTTATAGATTACCTGATTAGAATAAAAATCTTTTTTCAGAGCCGTAAAAGACAGCATACAAGGCGGAGAGGCAGTATGGTTCGGATGTGAGGTGTCCAAGCGTTTTGAGAGGAAACATGGACTTGAAGATTTGGATGCGTAAGTTATATTCTAATTCTTATTTATAAAAATTGCAACACTGTTTTATTGAAAGGAAATGAATTGTCTTTAATTTTAGCACAGCAAAAAATAAATTAAATCATTTAATTCATTTTTTACTTGTAAAAGATCTTTAATCAACTAATTCTCCATTGGACCTTACCACCACTGCGAAATGACTAATTTAGCAAGTGCTGAGAAGAAACTTCGGAAATCGCAATACACTCTTATTATTTAGATATCCTAATGTGTTCATTCGCAATTTGGTGTAATATTTTTTTTTGTTTTAGGCACGACTACAAGCTGATATTCAACACGGACGTTCAGATCGGCCTCAAGAAGGCGGATCGGTTGCGATACGGCGATTCTTGCATGACGCACGCTATGGTGTTTACAGCCGTTGGTACCGATGTAAGTATTCCATAACCTTTATTCCCATCCGCCCCCTTCCCATCTAGCTTGCCACCGGGGTGATTGGCACTATGATATAAAGCGAAACTCGATTATGAATATATTCTTCACTACAACGCTACTTTTATTATGTTTCAGGAACTGGGCAACCCAACAAAATTCAGAGTAGAAAACTCATACGGAGATAAAGAGTACAACAAAGGCTACCTGCTTCTCACGGAACCATGGTTCAGGGAATTTGTTTTTGAGGTAAAAAACTTTTTTTTAATAAATCACATTTTTTTTTTACAATTTGTTGTGTATTTTCTAAGTGATTTTTCTCCTTCTTTCTTCTAAATATTCATTTGTTTTTCCAGATCGTAGTAGACAAGAAATACGTCGCAGATGAGGTGCTTGAAGTGTTCAAACAAGAAGCCAAAGTCCTGCCCGCATGGGACCCCATGGGCACCCTAGCTTGTCCGCTGTGCAGCAAAGAATAACCCTACGCAAGTTTACAAAGAACAACATTGTAGTAGAAAGTGATTTTTTCACGAGTCTCTTCCTATTGGCCAGCACTATTTCACTAGGGTGGCAAACGGGACAACTATTAATTACGGTATTATGCATGAAAAAGATTTATACGTCATCAAGTGACTGCTATATTTGGTATTTTAAGTAACAACAAGCAATAAATTTTAAATTAACATGCAATTTTTATGAGCTTTAATAGTCCATATCACGAATCTTTTGGCATACATCTTGATTCAGATCTGATATAAAAAATATTGACAATAATCATTATACCTACATAACAATATTAATATTTAGGTTAACAATGTGTTCATTTTCAAGTTACCATAACTTACAGAATGGTGTGTATTAATAAACCAATTAAAAATTACATGGTATTTAATAGCAGATGATGATCTCATCAATATTATTTTCTCAATATTTTATATCTTACACCAGCCTTTTTTTTTCACAATTAATCTAAATCAAATGCTTGGACTTAGATCAATCAACATTTTTTTTTTAGATTTTCTGATTGGTTTATTAATATGCACCATAGCCATGTCAACTATTAAACCAATTATTAATAATAGTTCTTTTGTATTTCATTCTCATTTAACTGTAAAATGGTGCATTTTGTACTTAAACTTTCAAACAAGTACATTTTTTACAAGTAATAAGTTCATTAGTACTCTTTTGTGAGTAAGAAATTGTGAAGAATTTGTGAAATGCAGGTCATTTTTGTCTTGCAATTGCCATTATAACATTAATTGAATTTTCGGGCGTTATCTTTAATATATTTTATTGGAATAAGCATTTGTTTCATTTATTAAAAATTTTATTTATAACCTAAATGGGTGATTAACTCCAGAAATTAATTAAATAAGAACAAATTTAAAATCGGTAAGAATTTATTTACAACACCAAACATTATGTGACTACAAACTGCTTTGTTCTTTGTGGTTTATATTATTATGTTTTTATTATAAATAGATCCTGTATCATTTTTCACATTTGTGAAATGTATTGGTACTTTAATTACGTACTTTATTTACACATCAGCACATCACCGTCACAAGTGGCATCACCAACTTGTTTCTTCTTCAAAGATCTCAAATATTTCAACTTGGCCCATACACCTTGACACATACGTATGAGTCTTTTGTCCTTTGTTGCCCGGCCAAACTCTGCAACGTTACGGACTACGTGCCTAGCTAATTTGATTTTCCCCTTCTGGGAATATGATAGGGCAGAATATAACTTGCTACGAGCAGCTAAGCCTTCGTCTCCGAGCATTTTTGACAGCTTGTACTGTCGTATTGATATTCTACCTGCTTCTTCAGCCTGAAATATAAATAAAAAAACATCAATCAACTATTACTGTATCTATTGTTATAGTATAAAGTTTTTTAAATTTTTTTTTTAGTTTTTGGATGTATCTTAGCTAAGATAAGATAAAGGCAAGGATTTTAAGGTGACATAGAAGTATTTAAAATGACTTACGCAGTGTTCAAAATAGTCTCCTAAAGCAGAATAAGCACCGCCTAGAGTGGACAGCCAAGAAAATGCATTTTCTATTTCAACCCTTGTCCAAATTAGTCTCAGCATTCTATCATTCCTGCAACAAGCACAGAAGTGTTAAAATCTTATAGAAATAGCATAAGAAGTAGTAAATTTTCCAAGAGAATTTCTTACCATCCATAGTCAATAATTTCCTTATCTGGAGGCTCTAGAATCAGTTTCAAAAACACTACCCCATCCTCAGGGCATCCACAAAGTTTGTGCAAATGCAACAACACCCTGTACCTGTACTCATCCGAGTTTATACAGGCCTGCACGAATGGCCGGAGGAAAAATGCAGTGGCCACAAACTTCAACTTGTTCCTGTAGCCACTATCGTAATAATAGTCGCCGTATCCACACTCGATGCCTAGGAGCTTGCAGCACTGAGTGTCTGGAATCACCAAGCCTTCCTCGGATACATAACATATCGTGTAAGGTCTACGAAAAAGGCGAACACTAGTAACCAATTGCATCGTAAGTTAGGTTATAAATTAGTGCACCTAACAGACACCGTATTATGTATCGATCCCAGTACTTGGTAATTATTTGTTCCGATTACATAAGTGCAAAACTGGTCCAGTTTTATGATATAAATTCAATAAATTACGAAGTCACGACTGAATCAAATTTTATCAAAATCACAATAATGTCACATTGACATCTGACAGCTGATGTCAAAAACTCAAAATGAACGTCAAATTGTTTTTTTGTGTCATGTGGTGGCTAAGGCAATTCACACAACAGCCATCGAAATCTTTTTTTTACTCAGTAAAATGACGTCCTTAGCTACCGCTAGGGGGCGGCAGGTTGGCCACCACCACCACAACTCGAGCTTGGGAGAGATATTGGCCGGTATCAAAGGGCAACTTGTAACATTCATTCCCAGAACCTATTCATATTTTTACCGCGTTATCTACTAGTAACCTTAAATGAAAATCCACCTTCGAAATATTATTAAGAGCGTTGTAGCAAAAAGTTGGCGTTCGAATTTTAGGTTTTTATTGCTTGACGTCGCGTAGTGAGTGCGCAAACTGCATTTATCTGTACAATTTCAACGCTGCGTCGACTAAACGATCTTAACCCTNAAATGTGCCTGAAAATAAACGTATTTTAACATTTGAAACAGGTCCCTTTTTATCTGCCATGTAATAGGTGGTTTGAGAAGTCTTACCTATCGGCTGTCGGTCGGATAATGTTGGATATTTATTAAAATTTTAAACGGCGCTATTCTGGTTCGTAAAAAATAATTTACGTAAATAGGTACAGAGGATAGTATGTCGAGGTAAATACAATGGGGTCACAGTTGTAATGTTCGTTCGTTCGTTTCAGCCGAAAGACGTCCACGGCTGGACAAAGACAAAGTTGTAATGTAATAGGAGCGAATATGCTAAAAAAATGGGTAGTCTGACGTGCCTGTATCGTAACGAGAACGATTTATTCGTGCTTAGGGTACAGGTTGCCACTGTCAAGTTCAACAGTGGTGACTGAGTTTGTTGCATTGAAGTAATAGTAAGTAGTACATTATAGCTCAATGGTTTGTTGCGGCGTTTCTCTTCTTATGGCAAAAAAATAATTAGACATTGACATAAGCTCCATAAAAGAATTTGACGATTTGTAAGTACTAATTTAATTAGTCTACACAAATAAAGATAATTTTGATTAGAACACACATTTGAAGTGAATAAGTATCATACTTAAGACAGTGTGATACCTAATTATTTTCGTTGCAAAGTGCCTTACCTCACATACCACACAAGCCTACATGCATACGTGCATAAAAATAGAATATTCATGCGCATTACAAATTACAATACAATAGATGTACCTAGGTAGGTATTACTATTCTACTACTTATTAATATTCTGTGGTATTACTTACAGTGTGTTAGAGAAATAGATGTCCTAAGTACACGAACCGTCTGTGGGACGGTTCAGGTAGTGTAGAACATCCGTAATGTGACGCAAGAGGTGACATTTATTAGAAACCTATGCTATTTTCAGACGGGACCTTCTTACACCTTTAAAATTATGGCTGAATCGCACCACATACTTAACTTTGACCGTAACTAGGTATAACGATAGGTATAGATGACCCACGCTGAACTGTCCCGCCAAACTCAATGACAGGGGGGCGCTACCATCGTTCAACTTTATGGTTTCCAACATGGCAAAAATCGGAACCAGCGATTCGGTATTGACGGTGGCGCCCCGCTGTCAATGTCATCGATAGGACAGTTCAGTATTTTGGAACTATAACCAGTGTTTTTTGTATGATGTTTGACAGATTTGTGACGTTTGTTATAATGAAAATAAGATGGTGCAACCCAGCATTAATATCATGAGTGTTTAGGCTTGATGTAACTCTATTTTTCGTGATTCAGGATTAGGTAGTTCGTTTGTTTCAGCCAAATGACGTCCACTGTTGGACAAAGGCCTCCTTCAAGGTTTTCCACAAAGAACGGTCCTGCGCTGCCCGCATCCAGGCTCTTACCGCGACCTTCACCAAATCGTCGGTCCATCTAGTATTCTAGTAGAAGGCCTGCCAACGCTACGTCTTCCAGCCCATGGTCGCCACTCGAGAACTTTTCTGCCCGAACGGCCATCGTCTCTACGAGCTATGCCCCGTCCACTGCCACTGGATTTTAGCTATGTCGGTCACTTTGGTTCTCCTGCAGATTAGGTAGTAAGCCCTTCGAAATATCTATTTAATCGCCTCTGTGGTCTAGCAGTAACACCACCTGTATCGGACCCAGAGGCCGCGGGTTCGATTCCTGTAGGCACTTTTTTGCTCGATTTGGTAGGTGGTGTTATGTCCTCTTCTAGATATCCATCTTGCATCTTGCCTAAGCAGCCCAAAGTCTATTTTTTAGATACAGTTACGTAGGTACAGAGGAAAGCACGTTATGGTAAACACTATCATAGTCAATTGCGATAGAAGCGATTTTGCATCAAAAATCTCAATCAATGCTCTGTGTAAAATGTATTGCTGTCGTCTATACCTAAAGGTGAGTAAAGACAAAAACATTTCTACGTAAGTACTTAATGTAACGTTTTTAAGAATTGTAGGTAAGTACTAGGTACAATACAATACAACAGGCAAATTGTACGACGTTTCGTTCGTGGAAAGGTGATAATTATGTTACAGACACTAGAACATTCTTATAGCGGCTTGTTATTCTGTCACAAGTAAATTTTATGCTCTAGTCAAACGGTTCCCGAATGGTGGTCTGCGGGTTCCGTGGGGTTCCGTGGAAAGGCCGCAAGGGTTCCGTAAAAAATATTATCCCGCGTTTCGTGACCGACGTTGTTCGCTCGCACCGACTTGTTGTTGTTGTTACTGTTGTCGCACAAGGGAGAGGCAGGGCGTGCGGGCGGAGTAGTACGGGGGTTCCGCTAGGAAAAGTATAATCAATTAGGGTTCCTTGGCAAAAAAAAATTGGGAAACCCTGCTCTAGTCTATACTCACCTTAAGAGCGTTTACGCCGTTTGGCGCAAAAACAGTACTTTTTCAACTCGTTACAATCATTAACCAATAATACTACAAATATGTTATAGGCATAAATAGTTAGGCAATTTCGTCGTCTAAATAGTTAATTGAGAAAATATTGCGATTAGTTTAGTATTTAAGAATTCTATCAAGATAAGTCCACACAGGTTTTGTAAATTTCCACTTTAGCGTCAGTTTACAAGCTGAAATTNTATTTGCTGGGCTTTGTTTACTTAGTTGCTGTATAATTTATGTAAAAGTATTAAAAAATAAGAGAATTCATGAAAAAAATAACATTTTGTCGTTTTCTTTATTTTTTTTTAAATTTTATTAAAAGCAACTTTTATTTTATTCATTAAAAAATGTTAAAAAAGCCACGAAAATCAAGAAAATATGTGTATTTAATTTTTTTAAGACAGAAATATTGAAATAACTAACGTATTACTGTGAAACTAAGTAATTTCTATATTTTTTTAAGCTTTGACTTACTAATACCGTATTTAGCTCTACGGAGCAACTTAGACTGAAAACAAAATGGATTTAATTTCCCACCTCTTTATAGCAATGTTGAATTAAGGTCATGAGTACTACAACAGTAAAAGTAACAGAGTAACAACAGGTTAATGTAAGCAATGCGCAGTGACGCCTAGTTGGCTGGATAGTTGCTCAATTTCAATTATTTTTTTTGTTGAGCTAACTTTAACTTCTTTAACTGATACTGCTGGTATAATAATAATGTAATATGCCTTAAAACTTTCTAAATTCCTATTTTATTTCATGTTATAAACCTTAGCAAATCAGTGTAATTGCAAAGTTTTGTAGCAAAATTTTTACATTATTACAGATACACCAATTTGACCTGGTAAAATTATTACAATGTCAGTTACACCAAAATTGTGAAGGAAATCTAAAAAGTTCACACCTGAAAATGTCCGTGTAATTGTATTTTTTTTAAAGCTAGAATTTTTTTACGTATACCATTCGAAAGAGCAGAAAAAGCTAAGAAAAACTGTATATTTAACTCAAAAACCGTATTTTGTCAGTTACCCCAAGTGAACCTGCAACTGACGATATTATTCTAAAGAATAAAACTTTTTTATTTTTTTATTCTAAAGACGAATTTAACGATAGAGTAAATCTGGTTTAAAATATTATTTTTTTGTTAAAATGCATTTTCTATGGCTACTTTTGCTATCTATTGTCACGTAAACGTAATTTTAAGTCAAATAAAAAGATAAATATTTGAAAACCTTTGATTATTACGTTTTTTTACTATGTCCCGCTTCTGACGGAAGAATCCCGCTATTTTCACTCAAAAAGTACCAAAGTCCCGACTTGGCGAAAAAAAAAACTGGCAACGCTGCGCTTACGGCTTGTTCGTGATGACGTCATCTGGAAGTTTACATTACATAAAATTGCTGTATCGTTCGTTTTCAACCAAAAGACGACGTCCACTGCTGGATAAAGAGCCAAGGATTTCCTCTACGACCAGGTGCTTCCCGCGAACTTCACTTCATCTGTCCACCGAGTAGGAGTCCTGCATTCTACGTCATCTAGTTCGTGGTCGTCACTCCAGAGCTTTACTGCATCAACGGCTATGTGCCCTGCCCACTACCACTTTGGAAATTCTACAAATTGGAAATTCTTAGCCTGTAGAATCTGGTCACGAATTATCACGAAAAAATATCCCTCTCTGATCCAAAACGTGATCCTGATTTATGCTACTACAAAAAAGTTATATGTGATTGAGTTCGACATAAAAACTGTTCCATTATGGAAATCATTGCTATGCTATGTTCAGCAGTGGACGTCCTATGGCTGAAATAATGATGATGATGATGATGTTTCCTGAAGAAAAAACAGACTCATTCGAAATTTTCACGATCATTAATAAAATTAGTAGGGTAAACCAGAGAGTGATTGCCCACTGGTAGTGATTGCCCGCTTTAAGAATAATATTGTCAGGTGCTGACTTTGAATCACTCTAGTTAGATTTGAATTGACTAAGTAGATGGCTCCGTGATCAATGTACAGTAGATTTAAAATTTACAATAGGAAACACTAAAAAAAACAGTTATGGCGGATTTTGTCAAGACGGGTGAAAATGTTACTCAAACAGGTGAAGACTTTAACAATTTTACTAAGGAATTACTTGCTTAGAGGTTAATTTTTTTTTCCAAGTTATTTAATATTCAACTAATGGTGTATAGTCATGATGAAATTATAAGTGTTTTCTTCATTATCAATGAAAATAACTGATAAAATTTGATTTCTAACGGTCATTTTAACGGTGGGTAATCATTGCACGTAAATCTGTATATTTTCAGTTATTGCCCACCATCATTTCAGTTATTGCCATATGTTAATGTATAGTTATTGCCCAGGGCAATTATTATTAGAGTGTTGCCACCATGCAGTAGCAGTGTTTAAGTTGCTCATTGCTAGACTTGTTTTGCAATTTACAGGCATAAATAACATGTAAGACAACAATAAAATTTCCAATTTTACAGACCTTCTAGAGCAGATGCCGCAAAAACTATACAAGATATAGAAAAACTTGACGGTCTCACCTGTAGCAAATTGAATAAGCTTTTTTTGGTTCATAGTAGTCATGTCACTAGGACGCATAGTTTCCGAGGATTAAGCGAAAAACCGAAAAGTGGTACCTTTAAACCCCCCTCTCCCCGCCGGCTCAAGGGCTAAGGGCGGGGACTTTTGCTATGTTCACCTCCTAACTAGGCTAAATAAATTCCCGAGGTCAGAAATTGTGTTCCACGGATTTATCTCTACACCGTCGTTAAGGCATTCATTGACTGGACTAACAATACAACAGGCAAAATGTACGACGCGACGTTTCGTTCGTGAAAAGGTGACATGTTGCAGACACTTTCTTATAGAGCGGCTGGTTGTTCTGTCACAAGTAAATGCTCTAGAGTCTAGTCTCTATACTCACCTTAAGCATTCACAAAACAGTGTTTAGAATTAAAATTTGTCAGCCGTTTGGTGTAGTGGTTCAGAACGGACTACTATGCCGAGAGGTCCCGGGTTCGATTCCCGCCGGACAGAAATTGAAATGATGAATTTTTATTTCTGTGACGGGTCTGGGTGTTACTATGTATAATATGGTAGATAGGTATGTATTTAAAAAAAAGTATAAAAGTAGTAGGTTTAAGCGATAAGCTAGCAATCATAACACAAGCATATTATAAGTTGCTTACTTTGGGGCTAGCTGGCGCTGTGTGAAATTGTTCAAAGTTATTTATTTAGAATTGAAAATTGTTTCTTGTCGATGTATTATTCCCTCTCTCTCTCGTAGGACAACCAAAGGCAGAACAGATTCGATTATAAAAATGGAAAACCTACTTTATTTTAAGAACTCGATTCTAACAAAAAATATGTAAGATGCAGTGTATTTTACGTGTATGTACCTACTTAGATGGAATTATGGAAAGTCTTGAACTGTGTGAGGGTTTCACCTTTGTTCGATTGTATAAAAACAAGTTTTTAGTACTATGTACGTGTCGATTTATCTATCATTAGGGTTCTTCGTCCAATATTTTTGTTCGTTCGTTCGTTTCAGCCGAATGACGTCCACCGCTGGACAAAGACCGGTCCTGCGCCGCCCGCATTCAGGCACCTAATTCCACATAACATTTTAGTATTTTATCGCTTAACATTTTTGTAACTTCCTTTCCAATCATAATCTGTCACTGTGAAAGTCTTGTTTTATTATAGAAAGAAATATTTGTTTTATCACACATAATGTTTTCATCATTTTAGGACTGTAACCACTCAGTTGTTAACAAAGATGCCTCCGTGGCCAGTAGTAAAGTGTGACTCTCTAAAAGGTTTAGGATTTGATTCCCAGAAGGGGTACCTCTTTGTAAAGTCACTTAGTGTATTTTTTGTCAGTTTCCTTGGTACCCCAGTAATCAGTCAATGATATTATTTCCTTTATTTTCAAATAGGCATTTGTCAGGCTCGGTTTCCAACAAAGCGGAGAGGAGCGGAGACGAGCGGAGCGGAGCCAGTGTATTGATGTCTATCGTATGATTCTTTCGAATGTGCAAGGTGCGGGGAGAAGGCAGCAGGGGCCGAGGCATCCGCTCCGCTTTAGTCCGCAAGAGCCCGACACATCTCCGCTCGGCTCCGCGCGGCTGCCGCTGTCGAATTCTATGGAAAAATGAGTCCTCCCGACACATCTCTCCTCTCCGCTTGATCCATTTCCACCGAAGTTGAGCATAGAGGAGATGTGAAAATAAATAATATGATTGGTTTGGAGACCGGGCCTCATAGAGACAAGTCTCCGAATCATTTCAATAATGCATACAAATGCGGAACCTTAAAATTGAAATAAGATATTTTATGTGCATTTTGTTCTTTGACCCACTTGTGTCATAAGATCTGTGTAATAAGTCTGTCGATGAAATTAATATTTTTTCACTGATGGATAGCTCAGTAACTGTCTTAGGATCAAGGAATAATGAAGGGTGTGGTTTTTGCCTTTCTTTGCCTGTTGGCGGTAACAGTTCAATCTGAAAAAAATGTCGGTAAGTTATTATTTTTACTTTATCTACATTAAAGAGGATACTCTTTAATTAAAAAAAATACGAACGAAAAAATGCAGACTGCACCAAAATAAATTAGGTGACGGTTTCTCAAGACCTTAAAAAATGGTGATACTTTGTGTCACTTTGTTAATTAACCGTCTTTCAAGCTCTTCCTAAATTAGGCACACTCTTTTTGGAGCTTTAGTTTTCCATTTTCCTTACTTTCCTTTTTAGAAAGAGAGCCCTATCCATAAATGCTCAAGGGCCCCATTAGGTTAAAAGCAACCCTGGCTGGCCTGGCTCATTGACAAAGATCCTATATACGGACGATAGCAAAACAAGCTAAATCGAATGTCGAGTCGGCTACTCTGACCCCGTCACCATTCGGCTATCGCGTGGCTTATATTTCTCATTATACTTATTTCAGAGTCTGAACTTAGACGTCTCCCAAAGCTCTTCCACCTGGACGATTACGAGGCGTGTATGGAGAGGGACAATGGCATCTACTGCTTGGGGAAGTTCCAGATCTACAGCGATATGGAGAACAACCCTCTATTTGACCTAATACAGGTAAGATTAATTTTGCCTAAGAATCCTGTAAATGTAGGTTCTTCAATGTTGTAGAATCTAGGTACTCCTAGATTCTACAATATTTACACTTACTTTATTGTAGAAGTCACTCTGTACCTTATTCACCAACGATTGCTGGAGTCCACTTTTAACTTTTCTTATAAAGGAAATAAGTTAAAAGCACAAAGTAATTTTATAGTTAAATTCTTGATTAAGAATCTTATCATAACGAACGTAGACTAGGAGTCTGTCCATCTCAATAGTCCAGCGGTTGACAGGGCTCGAAGCAGCCTTCCTCTAATCTGATACCGTTGGGTAATTCTCGCTCAATCGTTTAGTTATTGATTCCAATTTGTTTTCTTAAACTCAGGAGAAGGCTCAAGACATCCACCTCTTCAATCGCTCTTTCATCCATCGCGGGTACTGCTTAACCACGCGCTGCCCAAATGCCGAAGCAAATGTGACAACGCGCTTCGAACGCTGCGTAGATACATGGGCGCGTACGCACGCGTTGCGCACGCGCTTGCATGAACTGCACTATTGCAAAACAGCTGGCAAACCTCTGCCCATAGAGAAAAACACGGACATGCCCCACCAGCTGCTCCTCTACTTTGTTTATGGCATCCTTGCCTTGAATCTCATTGGAACTGTGTACGATGTGATGTTCAGGACAGGAGAAGGTAAGAGCTAAAGTCGTTATAGAAAGCATCTAGGTAATGATCTAGACCTGATTCTGATTCTGCAAGAAGGCTTTTAAAAAGCACTTTCATCCCTACGCTTTTGCATTGGCTACTTTAATACTCTGCTGTACTAGGTATTTCGGGACAGTAAGGACAATAAAATATCCTCCTTTATATAATCCTCCGTGGTTGAGGATTCCGGGTGAAGCTCGCTTCCACCTTCGCCCGATCGTCACTTACCATCAGGTGATATACAGGCCAAGAGCTTCCTCGTTGCGGATAAAAAAATAAATATTTATTACAAAAATTGTATTGCAGGCAATTTCATCCTCATGGCGTTCTCTTTTCCCGCAAATTGGAAGAAATTTGGTACGATGTCGGATGAAAGCGATCCTCGAATTAACAATTTGCAAGTCCTCTACGGTATTAGGTTAGTGATACAGACTAAATTAATGATGATGTTGGTACTAAGCTCATGTCTTCAGAGTTCCCGGCTTCAGAGTTTCAGAAGGTGGTGGTATGGTGGTGGTGGTAGGTAGGTACTACTCTTATGTTCTTCTGATTAATTTCGTTTGGGTCCAATGACAGTTTAACTTCCCCCGGGACAAACTTGACCTTCACTGGTTGGGTTTTTATTGACTGTCAAGCTGTAGATCCTGGCTACACAGTAGTTGCAGGTGGGAATAGTCCCGTAAGCATAGGTGGTAGTCTGTTCAGAAATTACAGTACAATGTCTTTCCAGGACTTGGTTCATGTGCACTGCCATCGCAGCACACGTTGGACTCGTCGTGTGCATGGTCTACCAGCACAACCCAAGGTTTTTCGAGAAGGTAAATTGTATTCATCATGAAATCAAGTTATTATAAGTTAAGGGTCCATTCTTCCAGGAACATTCTCTTGGTTTGTAGAAAATTTTCCTGACCAATCTGGGGGGGGGGCGGGCCCTACATCAGACCATCCGCGTGGTCGTTATCAGGACCCCACCATCAGGGGGCTGACCTGTTTTCGGTAGGGGCCCCGAGGATTGCATTGCTAAAGGGCTCCGACATGATCATTCACTGTGTAGTTTCCAGCTATTTTACTAAAATAATGTACACTCAGCGTCAAAGAAATCGCATCTCCTGCGACGATAACTTTGAAGATTTCGTTCTGACACAATCATAGTGCCCCACCAATATTGGTTTTATTTGAAGGCCCGATAAAGAATGTTAAAGAAAAACACATTATTATTTTTTATAAGTAATATCAGGTACCATAAGGTTTTCCGTATACCTTCTCTGTCATTATAATATTTTATAAACTATTATGTTGCATTTTTACTATAAAATTATCACTTTACGGAATTTATTGCAACAATATCTATTTTAACGGTAAATAAAATATTTACCCTCCCGACGTTTCGGCTCGGTTGCACGAGTCATGGTCGCGGGCAGACTGAAGAGATGCGGCGTCGTCTGCTCCGGCGCGATGAGTTTTCTTCACCCACCCGCATTTGCACAATATTTTCGTCAGTGGTACAGTCAGTCCGACAAACTACACTAACAGTGTCCGGACTGTCCGGGTTTCTCTGAGACGGCCTAGAACGCGATTTGTACTTCGTTATCACCGGATTCCACGCTGATGATAGGTTAAATCCATCTTCTCGATTGAAATTCTTATGCTTTTTAATTTCAATGGCTTCACGTATCAACCTAACATGGTAATGCCTATCAGTTGAGAGGATTTTCGGGTCATGAAGTTCCATCCAGTGATTAACGTCCGAAGTGCAACCGAGCCGAAACGTCGGGAGGGTAAATATTTTATTTACCGTTAAAATAGATATTGTTGCAATAAATCCCGTAAAGTGATAATTCTCTGTCATTACCTACTAAGTGATGTTTATCGTTTTTCAGCTTCTCGCCTCCCGAGCCGGTTCCACGCTGGGAGCCTCGACGACGATCACCCAAGCCTACATCGTCATGTCCAACTTCTTGACAGCTTTCAGCCTAATATCGGTTTCAGCCAAGCATAAAATTGGATTGAGAACGATACCCGTGCTTGTTTTGAAAAGAGCTATCCGGTAAGACCATATTATCTATTTATACTTATTAGCAAAAAGCCATTTAGACAATTGTGTATGCGGAAATTATATTTCCTGTGAATACAAAAGATACAAGTTGACTGACGCCCGTGTTTACAGACATTACTATGAGGTCTCACAATGCGCGTGGACCTCAGATCATATTCTCTGAGGCGTGGACGGCCGAACCAATCACAGAGCTCTATTCAACGCTGTGCGTTCGATTTGTTGTATAGAGCTCTGTGATTGGTTCGTGTGTCATCCTGTGCGTCCACGCACACTGTGAGACCTCATAGTAATGTTTGTGAATACAGGCGATAGTCTCGAAGTTGCTAGTAGTTCGTAGCTGACTACACTGTAGAGACACAAATTTTCTTTTTTGTGGTAGAGACGTGTCGTCACTTTTTCTATTTTTGTGAAATACCTTCATCATGTGTCGCTAACTACGGATGGTATTTCATAGAAATACATAGACACTACTGTAGTGACAAACGAAATAACTTGTACCTTATTTTAAAATCAAGTATGATTTAATGAAAAGTTTATTCGTTCGTTCGTTTCGTTTCAGCCAAAAGACGTCCACTGCTGGACAAAGGCCTTCCCCAAGGATTTCCACAAAGACCGATCCTGCGCCCTTCACCAGATCGCGGTCACAAAAGTTTAAAATAATTTGATATTCACTTAGCTAATAGAACCATCGAGTTTGCGTAGTTTGAAGTTTGTACCGACAAGTTGACAATATTTTTAATGATAATTTATTCTAATTTTTATTACGAATACATGAAATACAAATCACTAACATTATGAGATGACATCCGGCGCACAAGAAACTAAGAAAGCATGTAGGTACCTACCTAGTACGCTTGTTGTACCTACCTACTAGTTATTTTCTTAAAAGACGAATAAAGATATTAATTTGTCAAGCCCCAAGACCAGGGGTCTCCAAACTACGGCCCGCGGGTCATATCCGGCCCGCCACTGCCATCAATCTGGAAAAATTAAAATTGCTATGGCCCTTGCAACATACCGGAAAAATTATTATAGCCCCAAAGCTTCAAAGTTTGGAGACCCCTGCCCTAGACCTATCCAAGCGGGAACAGCTATGCCCGTTTTCACCATCAATCCCTAATTTTTAAGTGACCCCTATGGTAACCCATCTAACAGAAATTTTGTTTTCATAGGGGTCACTTAAAAATTAGGGATTGATGGTGAAAACGGACAGCTGTATTGGCACAAGTCTTCCTGATAAAACTAACATAAAAATAGGTACAATTATTTCCTGGTAGAGAATGCCACCCGGCATTAAGTCCGCTACTGTACTGTACTTTTGTGCAAAAAGTTTAAATAAATAAATAATTTTCCAGATTGTACCCAATATATTTGACCGTAAACGCGTTCGCTGCGACATGGTGGACCAACGTTGGGCAGGGTCCGATGTGGCCCCTTGTGGTGGGCGGCGAGAGCGCCATCTGCCGCAAGAAGTTCTGGCTCACCACCGTGTTTTTACAGAACATTGTAGACCCAGAACAAGTCTGTCTTGTTCAAACTTGGTAAGCGAAAGTAAATTTTATATTAATTGGATGAATATTTATATGAAGGCGGTTATCACACTGCGCCGCGCGCCGCCGCGGAGCGCGGGGCGACAGATTTAATCATTGTATGCAAGTACCTCAGTTTATATAGAAAACACGCGCGGCACTTCACACTGACAACGCGTCCGCGCGCGTGATTTTTTATATGAAAATCACGCGCTCCGCGGCGGAGCGCGGCGCAGTGTGATAACCGCCTAATAAGAGCAGTTATACAGAGTGTTACTTTGTATCCTTGTCATATTCACAGATAAAAGTAGCGAGCAATACCTATTATTTTAGATAATCCAGAGATTCCCATAAAGAAGGCACACTAAGTTTTTACTAAATTTGGTTTTGCAGTACAAATTGGAATTTTGCAGTTCAACAGGTCCAATAATTGAGGGTCGGTAGTTTGAACCCCGTTGTCCGCTAAACTATTGTGGTGAAGCCTTCTCTCTAAACATGTTTTGCTTAGCTGGAGGATTGGCGAGACTATTAATAACTGAACTAATCAAAGATGAACTCTATAAAGTAATAAAACATATTTTACTATTGATTTGTCACCCAGGATAATGGCAGTGGACATGCAACTCCAAGTGGCGACCATGGTGCTAGTGCTGCTCCTGCTCAAACGCCGGGAGTGGGCGATGCCGGTGCTGTATGCCGTGTTCGCTGCGGTGACCGCGCTGACGACAGCCGTTGCATTCAACAAAGAGTATCTTCCGCTCTTCAATGTCGTAACTCCTGAGTAAGTTTTATGATAAAGTCCGGTCGCCGAGCACGTAGAATTTCGTCCAATGACCACAAGCTACCCATCCTTATCTCGCACGTAATTATATTGCTGTCTCGACTTTGCGACGGGCGGCCGCAGTGAGTGTGCGAGCGCGAGTAGCTTGGGGTCATTGGACGAAATCCTAAGTGCTCGGCGTCCGGACTTTACACAGTTTCTTAAAGATGTAAAGGTGACTTAGCTTACTTAAATTTGAAGTTAATATTGTTAGGTACTTGACCGGCTAGTTGCGGCCTGCATCCAGCGCCTTCCTGCTATTTTGATGAATCATTGGTTCACCTTAAATTGTGGGTGGCTGCGTTTTCCGGTAGGTACCAACCGGTCACTAAGGTAATCATTGGGGGCGGCCCATGTTCAGCATGTCCTATGGCTGAAATGATGATGATGAAGGTTAGGTAGTTAGTAAGCTACTTTGTTATTTTAAGATTCAACGGATTCAAAAGGTGGATCACTATCATCACTATCATTTAGATGTCACTGTAGGAGCACTACTCTCTTTAATTTCATTCTTCTTCTTTAAGTTCACTGCTGGACTATGAGCCTCATCCAGTATCGTGGACGGTTTTGCCATAATCCCCACGCTTGGCAGACGGGTTGGAGATCGCAGTTTAAAGATTGATGTTTTTCAGAGAAGGCTGCTGCCCGTTCTCTGTTTGATGTGTAGTCCCTAATAGAGTCTGTCTCTTTAATTTGTGCGTGATACTAATAGCTAGACAGTTGAAATTCTCACATTTTATTTTTCAGCAATTTCCAAAGTTTATTTAGAAATGAAAAGAGCTTCACTGGCCTGTTCCAAAGTCCAGTCAATTGTGTGATGACTGCCGTGGGCGGTGTGATCTTGGCGTTCCTGTATGTGGACCATCAAGAACGAGGGATCAAAATTTCCAAATCCAAGGTAAACATGCAAAAGAAAATAATCAGCTGTATAAAAACTAAGTTAAGTGCCTACATAGGTATCTGGAAGGCGCTGGATGCAGGCCGCTACCAACCGTGCGATGTGGAAGTCATTGGGGGAGGCCTATGTTCAGCAGTGGATGTCCTGTGACTGAAATGATGAAGTGCCTACATTTAATAAATAGAAAACTCCTTGTAATTCCTCATAATTTAATTAATTAAAACTCCAGGTCATTGTAATAATAGCAAAAAGGTGAAAATGTCGAACTGGCCGACTCGAAATCCGAGGGGAAGGCTTTTTGTCCCTCTCTCTATTATAACAAGAGGTCCTGAAACTAAAAGGAATTTAAATAGTTAAACCATAAGTTGAGGAGGCCCTGAGGAAGGACTAAGGGCTTTTAAGATTAAATAATAAATACAATTCCATGCTTCGGTCGGAGGGCTTTACGAGACTAATGCCCGTTTTCACCACCAATCGCTAATTTATAAGTGTAACACAGGATTATTTTGTTTTCAAAGGGGTCACTTAAAAATTAGGGATTGATGGTGAAAACGGGCATAATCCCACCTTTCTCATATTGTGTGGCTGGCATACATTTAGTATGGAGCCTGAAAACATTGAATTTTTGGATAGATCCAGTTAATTCTGTAACCTGTTACTAGCACCGTTTGAAAGAGCTCGTAAAGCACTTTTCAGGATTCAGGACCAATAACCAGTTTTTCGATATCTTGTATACTTTAGAAATAATCGAGTGAGATCACTTATCGTTTCCACCCTGTAGGAGAAGTACGAAATATAATTTAATATCGATGGCTTGGTCTTATTACACTTTTTCATTTTTTCTTATTATCTTCTTCCAGCTTCTAGTATTTCTACACTACATGGCATTTCCTGCTTTAGCAGGCTGGTCGTACTTCTGCTCGATCCTTAACGAGACGATCACGAGCCCTACTACGATGATGCTCATAGTGACCATCGACAGGCTGGTAGTAACCTTGCTGGAGTGCTTCATAATGTACACTATGATGAGTCTTAAAAGTTAGTATGAGTGAACACCGAAAATGCCTATATCTATAGATCGTTTCATCCACGCAGACGCGCCCCACCATTCTTCCGCTAATGTTCGAGTGTAATTGGTACACACTACAATAATGACACTCGGATTGCTCGGATCAAACTCTTCGCACCCCGCGCTTCCTTCGACCAAAAATTGGTGTGGCGATATTCGTGGATGAAACGATCTATAATTTAATCATTTTGAAATTGTTCTTAGACTAATGTTAGTATTAATATTAGGTAAATTCTAATTGAGCTCAGAGGAAATTAAAATTAAACATAAAATATAGTTACTGACATTCTCGGAATAAATCTTCTTGTGCCCTTTTTCACCATCAATCCCTAATTTTTAAGTGACCCCTATGGTAACACGTAACAGAAATTTTGTTTTCATAGGGGTCACTTAAAAATTAGGGATTGGTGATGAAAGGGGCATTAATGCAACTTATTTTGGAGTCGATTAGATATTTATTTTAGTACCACTGAATGTCAGCAGTTTATTAAGACAATTTCTATTGTTTTTACAGTTATTTTGATTTAAAACTATTGAACCGATTTTGATGAAATTTAAATGTGACCAATCATTCGGGATGGTATCCTATCTTCCTATCAAACAAAAAAAAAACATTTTGAAATCGTTTCATAATAATTGATGGAGTTCTGCGGTAACATAGTGAAACACTTACAGGGCATATAATAATGTACCATCCTAGACTGCATCTCACTTAACACCAGGTCCGATTGTGGTCAAATGCCTGCCTTCATCAACAGCCCTTTACAGTCCACTGCTGGACTATGAGCCTCCTCCACTATAGTGGAGGGTTTTGCCATAATCTCCACGCTTGGCAGGCGGGTTGGAGAGCGCAGTTTGAAAGATTGATGTTTTTCAGAGAGCGCTGCTGCCCATTCTCTGTTTGATGTGTAGTCCATAAGTCGCCTCTTACGACACCCGCGGGAAGAGTAGGGGTTGGTGACAAATGTATTCTACTCTGCCGTCACCACACGGCTTGCCTTGTGCCTGCCTTGTTATGCATAAAAAAAACAAAATAAATAGGTACAAAAACATACGAATCAAGAACCTCCTCCTCCTTGAAGTCGGTTAATCGTATTGTTTCTTCCCTCCAGGTTGTTACCAGGCGGCATTCAGCTGGAAGCCGCTCAGGATAACCATGAGACTGTCGTTCGCCGTGTCCATGGTGCACTGGTGCGTCAACGTTGCCATGGTGGCCAACCGGCAGACCCTGCATGACTCATCGTTTATGGGACTGGTAAATATTAACTCTATCTATACTAATATTATAAAGCTAAAGAGTTTGTTTGAACGCGCTAACTACTAGTTCGATTTGAAAAAATATTTTTGTGTTGGATAGCCCATTTTTTGAGGAAGGCTTTAGGCTATACAACATTACCCTACAGCCAATAGGAGCGGAGCAGTAAAGAAATGTTGCGAAAACGGGAAATATTATTCAAACCATTTTCATACGTAAGTCGCGGGCACAGTTAGTCTTCATAAAAATAGGGTTTCTTTTAGAGATCGAATCAGGAATGAGGAGATCCATTCGAACTAAAGTCGCTGACATAACCTGACGGATTAACAGCTGAAGTAGAAGCAGGACACATAGCACGCAAAACTGGCGGTCTATATGGTCGCAAGGCTCTAGAATTGAGGCCACGCACGTACCTGCAAGCCAACAACGACTTGCGAGCTAACTGCGTTCCACGCTGGAATACGACTCTCCCTTGCACATCTCCCAACGACTCCGTACGCAGTTAACTCGACCGGGTTGCACAGTAGGCCCTCCATCCACAAGGTGGAGAGACGACCATAATAACGGTGGTAGGAAGGCACACGTTTTGCCTACCTAGCTATAAATGTTTGTTTCTTTTTGTTAGAAACAACACTTGTTTTAGTTGCGTAAATAGGTGCTATGACGTATTTGTTGTGACTGTATTATAGGACTTTGCCTTTGACTTTTTTGACTTTGTTACTTTGTCCTAAGCACACAATAGTTTAAAAAAATCGTTTTTCTTTTACAACTAGTAGGTTACTTATATAGAAGGAAACTCGCCATCATGCTTCAGTGCATTTTTTGCGATCCTACCCGATTTGAAGATTTTCTTTGTGCCATGGTAAAATTATATTTCATCTTTCAGTTTCAATGTTTTCTAGAAAGTTTAGGCCAGGTTTCCACCAAGGCGGAGAAGAGCGGAACGTAGCGGAGAAGTATTTTGAATATTAATGGAAGCTGGAAACATTGAATTTCCAGACAGTTCCAGTTTATTCTGTAACCTATTGGTGTCGTTTGAAAGAGCTAGTGAAGCACTTTCAAGAACAGTAATCAGTTTTTCGATATCTTGTATAGTTTAGAAATAATTCAGTGAGATCAATTATCGTTTCCATCCTGTATATTTTGCATCACCAATTGGCGCTACTGTCTCTAGCGAAACCTCTATCTCTAAAACCTTCCTATATATCTGTAATCTTATCTATTGGAGCTCACTTTATATTCTCTTTTACAGGCACTGGACTTCCTAGGGACGTTGGTCATCAGCCTCCTGATAGCTTTGCCCCTAACTTTGCTGGTGGAATACCCCCTAAAGAAACTACTGGACAGACTGGTCCCACTTACATAAATTCAATACATCTTTGAAATCAATGTAATTATTATTTTTTGTTATTTACATGTTACTAGGAGATTCACAGTCTTCACTGATGATTAATAAATAAATATTTAAATTAACTATCCAGTTTTTCAGTTTTTTCAATTATCACAGTCTTGCTGAAAAAGTCCTGGATAACCTATGATGTCTTAGTTTGGCATATCTAGGTTTCATCAACTCATCATCCTCCAAGGAGGGCTAAAAGTGCTTGATTTCCCACTTTCATCATCATTTCCACCCAAGACCAAATATTTTCTCTCGTTGATTAAGCAGGAATTGTCAAGTCACCAAGAGCGCTACTTATACTTCCGTCCCAGGCCTACAAGATGTACGGAGCTCAAGGTTAGCTG